GGTGAAGTGCTGTTGGAAAGGCGACCTATGTACATCCCTGAACGTGGCGGCTCCGCCAGCCCCCTCCCCACCGCGCGGCCCTGGCCCTGCCCCGCCTGTGCCCGGGGGGCTCCGGCCCCCCCCGCTATGAGGTCTGGCACTGGACGTGCTGGCGCATCCCGTCCTCGAAGTCATCCTCGTGATAGGCTTCTCCAGCATAGGGCCGCCGGCCCGGCCCGCCGTGCGCCGTGTAATCGCTGAGCTCCACCTCCTCCGTGTCCTCCGTGGCCATCACCTCCTCCTGAGGGGGGAAGAAGGCCTGGAGCTGGCGCAGGCGGTCAGTGGGGAGCCAGCCCGGCTCGGGGAACTTCACCTGTGACCAGAGAGCGGATGTGAGGCGTGGGGTGACGACTCAGGAAGCCCAGAGGTGGGAGATTTCAACTCCCGCCCTGCTCTAGCTCACCTCAAACTGCAGGATGAGCTTTCCTTTCTGAAAGGGGCTCCTGTAGACAGGCATCCCCTCGTTGGGGATACACTTCAGGTCCCCGGGCCGGATCACATCACCTGAGAGAGACAAGGGTCACCCTGCTGTGCTGGCAGCTCCCGGGCCCCCGGCTCTCCTGAGCCCCTCCTCACCTGGTGGGGAGGACACGAGCAGGGTGCGGTTGTCCAGGGTGCGGATCACCTGCCGGCACCCGCACAGGGCGTCTGCCAGGCTGATCTCCCTCCTGACAATGAGGTCATCGCCGCTGCGCCGGAAAACAGGATGCTCCTTCTGATCCAGGACAATGATGATGTCCCCAGGCTCCAGGCCAGGCACCTGGTCCCCTTCCTCATGGAAAGTGATTTTCTGCCCATCCTTCATGCCTGCGAGGAGTGCGGGGGAAGCTCAGGGCGCGTGCGCCGCTTTGGGGCAACCCCGCTCCGCGTTCAGCCCCAGCTCACCTTTATCCAGGTGCACGCTGAGGATCTTCTTCTCCCGCACAACCTTGCGGCCGTTGCAGGTGAGGCAGCAGTCCCGGGGCCGGATCCACTCGCCCTGGCCCTGGCACTGGGAGCACACCGTCTGGATCTGCTGGATCATGCTGGGCCCCAGCTGGTGGATGCGAACCTCCATGCCTGAGCCGTGGCACTTGGGGCACCTTCTCTGGGCACCCTCCCGCACCCCGCAGCCTGTGTCGAGGGGGACAGGGGGTCAGACAGTGGGGTAGGGGGGTGCTGGGGCGGCCCCCCGGCCCCTGCAGCCCCTCACTCACCTCCACACTTGCGGCAGATGATGTTCTTCTGCAGGGACAGCTTCCGTGTGGAGCCATTGTACAGGTCCTCCAGAGACACTGAGAGCTGGTGCACCACCGTCTTCCCTGGGCACGGGGGAGAGCTCGGCTCAGCGCCTGGCTTAGCACTAGCCACGTGCCACCTCCCATGACACGGCTGGACAGGCACTGGACACCACTCAGGGTCACCAGGTGCCCCCAGAGCCAGTCCCACCCCTTCCTCAAGGACGGAGGCAGGGACACTGACAGCGAGTTTTGCTCCAGGCCGGGCATCTCCAAGCCTGGATCCTGACGGCTGCCCTGGGACAGTGCCGGGTCCCCAGCGTGGGCAGGGCACGGCTCCCACCCCAGGGCTCTCAGCCACCCTCCAGCTGCTCCAGCTGGAGTCGCTGGGATGATTCCCTTGGCCTCCTAATTGCCCTGCTATTAACTCGTGCCATCTCAGCAAGAAGCGCAGAGGCGAGTCACCCTGTCCCTGTGACCCAGGCCGAAGGCATCCAAACAGTCACCGGGCCGGCCCCGCACGCCCCGCGTCCTGCTGCCACCCCCGGGGCCGCACCGGTGACTCAGCTCCAGCCCCGGGGACGGCGGGGGAAAGCTGGGACAGGGACAGGGAAGGGCCCTTTGAAGAGCGGCAGGTGGAGAAAGTAATGAGGG